GAAGATCCAGCTGAGAGAGCTGTTTACTCGGTGCTTTGTGCTGAACTGTTTGACTGGAGCTGTGTGTTGGATATTGAGTGTTTGTTGGAAGCATTTCCCTCTGATTTACAGTCTGTGTTTTGTTGATGGCTCATTCCTGAATATGAGAAGGTGAGGTGTCATTATCTGGGAGGTGCAGAGTGTCTGAGGATCCTTACTGATTTCCTGTTGTTGAGTTCTCTGTGTGTGTGTGTGTGAGAGAGAGAGAGAGTATGACCTGCTGAAATAATCCTTGAAGAAGAGGAGAGAGTGGGCAGAGTGGTGAGCTCTCTGATTGATGTCTCTCACAGTCAATCCAAATATTTCTAGTTCAGGTGATTAGCAGAAATACCTTTTCAGGGGAAATTAGATAAGCATATTAGGGAGAAAGGAATGGAAAGGTCTGCTTATAGGGCGAGATAAGGAGGGGTGAGAGCAGGCTCCCATTAAGCATAAACACCAGCATGGCATAAATGGCCTGTTGTTCACTGTAAGTCTATATATGTAACTTCTTATGGTTAGATTTGAACTCCCAGCCTCTCGATTGTTTACCCAGCATCACAGCATTTCAGCATCTGTACCTAGAAACACATTAATTGAAATGTCTTTTTTATGTTAAACAGACAGTCTAAGTGTAAACCTTCTCTTCGCCAGGACGACATGAACTCACACTGAATTGATAATCTATTTTACACTCTACCCAACTGTCTTTCTCATTGCCATCACAGTGCCTGGGAAGATGGGGGTCTGGGCAGAGGAAAGAAAGTAGCCACGTTGTCTGCTCCTGATCACTATCCAGTGTCGCTGCTAGAAACAGAGGGTGTGTGACAGTCACATGAGAGAAAGAAAGGACTTGGATATCATCCCCTCCCATAAAGGCAGACTGGCAGCCACTGTGGAACAGTCTCTCACAGAGGAGTCAGCCCCTTCAGCAAAAGAGGAGAGGGAGTTGGAGGAAATCATGTTTCCTTTTCCTGTTTTACAGAAGGATTGCATCGTACTATACCAGAGATTACAGAGAGGATAGACACCGCAGATAGATGCTGACTATCCCCCAAGGAACAGCTGCACAACTGTGGGAAGACATCCAGTCCCATCACAGCATTGCTCAACACAAAAAAGGTTGGGCAGTGAAACCATCATATGGAAATCAGTCTCGTCAGAGAAGTTTTGAGATATCATCAGATCTGAAACTGGTCAGTGGTGTGGAACCTTCCATCAGAACCAACCTTTCTGAAGGTTTGGCTGTGGGTGATCGGTCAGGGTGAGGCTGGGAAGAAGTGTGAGTGGCTCCAAGTATGGTGAGAGCTTTAGTTATTCATCGAGCCTCATGAACCACTGACTCACTCATATAAATGAAAGGCTGTTCAAGTATGAGGTGTATGAGGAGGGCTCCACAGGCTCGTAAGATCTCCTGACAGCAGGACAGAAGAGATACTTGGAAGTGAAACCATTCACACATGATGTGTGGAACCGAAACTACACTCAGTTGAGAGCCATGAGAGACAAACTGATCGATAGAAGCAGCAAGACTTTCAGCTGCAAGCTCTGTGACAAATCATTCTCACAGTCATCATCCCTTCACGTGCACCAACGCATTCACACCGGTGAGAAACCATTTACATGTGAAGTGTGTGACAAATCATTCTCGGACTCATCAACACTCCGTAAACACCAGCGTATTCACACAGGGGAGAAACCATTCACATGTGAGGTGTGTGACAAATCATTCTCTGATTCATCAAACTTCCGTGCACACCAACGTATTCATACTGGGGAGAAACCATTTACCTGTGAGGTGTGCAACAAATCATTTTTGAAGGTAACAAATCTCCGTGCGCACCAACGCATTCACACAGGGGAGAAACCATTCACATGTGAGGTGTGTAACAAATCTTTTTCAAAATTAACAAACCTCCGCAGACATCAACACATTCACACGGGGGAGAAGCTGTTCTCCTGCGAAGTGTGTGACAAAGCATTTACACAGTCGTCAAATCTCCTAGACCATCAGACAGTGCACACAGGAGAAAAACCCTTCAAGTGTGAAATTTGTGATAAAGCTTTTGCCACATCTACAAGGCTGCTGAGACACCAGAGGATCCACACAGGGGAGAAACCATTCAAATGTTACGTTTGTGAAATGTCTTTTATCCAAACATCTGATCTCCTGAGGCACCAGCGGATTCACACAGGGTAAAAAACCATTCACATGCAAGGTGTACAACAAATTGTTCTCACAGTCACCACTGCTCTGTTTACACTGAAGCATACCCAAAAGGGATAAGCCATTCAAGTGTGAGGTGCGCGATCAAGACTTCAAACAGCCAGTCATCGATACTGGTGAAACATCAATGCATTCACACTGGAGAGTGAGATAAAAATCTTTTTCAGTCATTCATCCTCTGCGTACGCCACCGCAAAGTAGAGAAACCGTCTACATGGGATACTCACAAACTTAACCAACTTCTGCAGACATCAGCGTATTAACACATGTGAGGTGCATATAAACCCTTTACTAAGTCACTGAACCTCCTGGTTCACCAGGAAATCCACAAGGAAAGAAACCTTCAAATGTAAAGTTTGTCACAAAGCCTTTACAGCATCAGTGAGGTTCTTGATAAACCAGATGTTTAAACACAGAAAAAAATCCTTCAGATGTGGGGATGGTGAGATAGCTTTCATCCAATCTTCAATCACGTTAAGTTCCATGGGATCCGCACACAGGAGAAAATTCTTCAGGTGTATAATGAGCGATTTATATAGTCATTGGACTTTGTGAAAAGCCAGTCACATACAATGTGTAGGACACACCAATCTCTGAGTTGCCAAGTCTTCTTGTACACTAGTACATTAACAAAGAAGTAACTATTCTTGTGGAAGATGTGTCACAAGTCATTTTGGTAGTGATGGAAACACATGTAGACCAATGTATTCACACAGGCGAACCCATTCATGTACAAGGTGTATGACAAATCATCCTCTCAGTTGTCAAAATGCCTCCTCTAACAGAGAATCCACAGAGTAGGTTAGTCCTTCAGGCACAACCTTCTCACAGTTAGCATGTCTCCTCAACCATCAATACATTCACACAGCGGAGGAAGGTGATTGGGGTGAATTCCATTGTAATACCTTCGGACAGTTGAACCTCCTGGAACATCAGTGAGTCCGCTTGTGTGACAAACCCTGCCTGTATGACGTGTATCAGGATTGTTTCAGCTTCTCCTTCTCCCTTACCAGACACTGACATCTCCACATGGACTTAGAACGGGGTCTCCTGCTTCCGTTGCACTGAGATCTGTCTGTGTTGTTTCCCATCCAGTGCTCACACAGGGGAGCTGTCATTCCAAAGCACTGTCTGTCTCAAACCTGTCCCATCATCAGTCAAATTTTATCAGAAAGATCAATTTAACCGTTGACCTGATAACCAAAGAACACCAGATGAAGACATCAATGTGTATAGAAACTCCTCCAGCATCCTTTCAGTACAGTGTCAAGTACAAGTCACTCACTGACTCTCACTTTGACCAAGAAGATAATCAGATACTCAGTGGTTAGAAAGGCTTCAGCTTCTGATCGACCAACACAAGCAGCTGGGGGAGGAGCCATTCCTGGGTAGTAATGGAGGTACTTCAATTAGCCTCAGTATCTTTGGTCTGTGAAAGGGGAGAATCAGCTGGGAATCCTGTTACTTATCAGTGAGCCCAGGTGGGAAGTCAGGGGGAAGGCAGGATGTGTCTCGGCTGTGACAGTTTCCATTGTCTCACAACATTCACTGTCTGGCTCTCCACATGCTGAACAGCCACTCGGAACAGAGCAGTAGAGGCCAGTCAATGTCCGCAGTCTGTCCTCCAGCAGGAATTGGAGGGAATGTGGGAGGACAACAATTTGCATGTCTATAGCATCTTAATATAGTAAAACATCTTAAAGTGTTTAATATAGACATCATCAGACAAAAATTAACACTGAGACAAATAGATATTGGGAGTGGATGACCAAAAATATGGCCAAAAGGGCAAAAACAGAACTTGCTGGAAAAACACAGAAGGTCTGACAGCATCTGTGGAGAGAAATCAGAGTTAATGTTTTGGGTCGAGTGACCCTTCCTCAGAACACATATGGCCAAAAACATTGGATTTAAGTGAATTCACGGTCATGGAGCCTGGAATGCATGGCTGTCAATGGTCCAAGGAAAGGAGTGAGATAGAGGGATGTACTAAAGGACAGAATTGCAGGAGCACTGCGATTGTGGTGGGTGATGGGTCTAGAGATGACATAGATAGAGACACAGTGAGGCCATGCACTGGAGCATTGGAATTTTAAATTGGAGGTACTGGGGGACTGGAAATCAATGTAGGTCAATGAGCACAGGACCAACAGATGTGATAGGATGGAGAGTGCAGTGTTTTACTAGTGTTTATGGAGATGAGAAGATGGGGAGCTAGCAGGAGAGCATTGGAATGGTCTAGTCTAGCCAAGAGGCAACAGCTGCATGGATGAGGATTTCAACAGCAGATAGTCTGATGTGGGATGGGAGCTGTTTGGAAATGGGCGATGTTACAGAGGGAGACACATACAGCCATAGAGATCTGCAACATAGAAAAGGGCCCTTCAGCCCATCACAACCATGCTGGTCAAAAACAATCTCCTAATATTCTATAGAGATAGTAGGAACTGCCGATGCTGGAGAATCTGAGATAACAAGGTGTAGAGCTGGTCGAGACCCGAAACGTCGGCTTTCCTGCTCCTCTGATGCTGCTTGGCCTGCTGTGTTCATCCAGCTCTACACCTTGTTATCTCCTAATATTCTATTCCCATTTTCCAGCAGTTGGCCCATAGCCTTGTTTGCCTTATCATCACAAGTGCATGTCTAAATACTTCTTAAATGTTATGAGGGTTTCTGCCTGTACCACTTTTACAGGCAGTGAGTTCCAGATTCCCACCAGCTTTGGGTGAAAAACTTCCTGCCCCTTTCCTTAAACTTATGCCCCCAAATATTGATCTCTCCACCAAGGGGAAAAATTTCTCCTTGTCTATCCAGTCTGTGCCCCTCATAATTTTATGTATTTCAATCATGTCCCCACTCAATTTCCTCTGCTCTAAGGAAACAACCCTAGTCTGTCCAATCTGTCTTCAGAACTAAAATTCTCCAGTCCAGGGAACATCCTGGTAAATCTCCTCTCCAATCATCTACCCCAGTGCAATCACATCCCTCCTACAACGTGGATTCCAGATCTCTGCATGATACTCTAGCTGTGGCCCAAACAACATTTCCCACAGTTCCAGCATAACTTCACGGCTTTTAAATTCTGTGCCTGAGCTAATAAAGGCAAGTAACCATACGCCTTAACTGCTTTATTTACCTGTCTCGCTACCTTAAGGGACTGGTGTACATGCGCTTCGGTGCTTCCCAGGGTCCTACCAATCACCATATATTCCCTTGCCTGCATTTTGGTACAACAAACAAGGGTTTGGCTTATAAAATTAATGGTAGGGCCTTGAGTAGTGGTGTAATACAGAGGGACCTAGAGGTGCAGGTACATAATTCTTTGAAGTTTGTGTCACATATATACAGGGTGGTTAAAAAAGCATTTGGCATGCTTGCCTTCATTGCGCAGTCCTTTGAGTATGGGAGTTAGGAAATCATATTGAGGTTGTACAGGACTTTAGTGAGGCCTCTTCTGGAATACTGTGTCCAGTTTTAACCGCCCTATTATAGGAAAGATACTATTAAGCTGGAAAGGGTTCAGAAGGGATTTAGCAGGATGTTGCTGGGTATGAAAGGTTTGCATTATAAAGAAATCTGGATAGGCTGGGACTTTTTTTTACTGGAGCGTTTATAAAATAATGAGAGGTATAGATAGGGTTAATTGTAGTTGTCTTTTCACTAGAATGAGGGATTTCAAGATGAGGAGGCACTTTTTAAGGTGAGAGGAGAACAATTTAAGGAAGACACAAGGGGCAAATTTTTTTACACAGAGGGTAGTTTGTGTGTGGAATGAACTTCCAGAGGAATTGGTGGATATAGGTAAGAATACAACGTTTAAAAGATATTTGGATAACTACATGAATAGAAAATAGGGATATGGGCCAGGAGCAGGCAGATCAGATTAGTTTAGTTTGGGATTATAGTTGGCATGGACTGGTTAGACCGAAGTATCTGTTTCTGTGCTGTATAACTCTATGACTCTATAAGTGTATCAACTCATATTTATCCGGATTGAATTCCATATGCCGTTGATCAGCCCATCTGACCAGTCTGTCTATATCCTCCTGTAATCTAAAGGCTATTCACCTAATTATTTGCTATCCCATCAATTTGCATATCATCTGTGAATTTACTGAAAATCTCTACTATAGTTAAGTCCAAATCATTTACATAAACCACAAACAGCAAGTGTCCCAACACTGCAGAACCCACTGGCTTCCAGTCACAAAAAACCCTCAACCATTACTCTCTGCTTCCTACCGTTCAGCCAATTCTGGATCCTAATAGCTAAATTTCCTTGGATCCCATGGGCTCTGTCCTTTACTATCAGTCTCCTATGCTGGACCTTATCAAACGCCTTGCTGAAGTTCAAGTAGACTACATCCAATGCATTGCCCTTGTCTACGTACTTGCTCCCCTTTTCAAAAAGTGTGACCTCCCCTCAACAAAACTATGCTGTTTGTTCTTGATTAATCCCTGCCTTTCCAAATGCAAATTAATTCTTTTCCTCAGATGTCAGTGATCTTTGTGATGGAGAGACTGTAGGTTAGGGAAATTGGTGGTTGAAGAGGATGAGACTGACCAATTATTGTTGGGGATGACACTGGAGAGATTAATTGAGAAGAATTTAAGGAATGTAGGACTGGACTAATCCCTTGAGCCTGTGACACCATTCAGTTAGATCATGGTTGATCCATATTTTAACCCTGTCTACCTGCCTTGACTCTGTAACACTTAATACCCCTGCCCAACAATAAACCTATCAATCTCAGTTCAGAAATTTTCATTTGACCTCCATGTTCAACAGCCTTTTGTGGTGAGAGAGTTCCAGATTTCCAGTCGCCTTTTTGTGAAGAAGTGTTTGCTGAACAGCCTCGCTCTAATTTTAATGCTCTGCCCCTTGTTCTGGTTCTCCTACCACAATGATCATTTCTGTCAAACTGATCAATTAAATAATACCTTGTTAAACCTAAACATTGTTAAAAAGAGGTGCATAGTTGAAGCCTTTCATCTTGGTCTCATCAAGACTGGGTGACAAGAACCCAAACTCTCAAAGAGAACACCAATTTATATGGCATAAAAAAAGGGGCTTGAGGCCAGGCCACTGACGTTTGAATTTATTTTCATAGAACTTGGGTACTAAGAAACTTGTGCAGTTATAATGACCAAATAGATGCCATGAGATCCCCTGGAGGACCTGTCCTTGCTGATACCTTAAATAAAAACTGAAAGAACTGTGGATGCTGTAAATCAGAAACAAAAACAGAAGTTGCTGGAAAAGCTCAGCAGGTCTGACAGCATCTGTGAAGAGAAATCAGAGTTAACGTTTCGGGTCCAGTGACCCTTCCTCAGCGACGAACTAAGGAAAGGGTCACTGGACCTGATTTCTCTTCACAGATGCTGCCAGACCTGCTGAGCTTTTCCAGCAACTTCTGTTTTTCTCGCTGATATCTTCATTGGTTGCTATGAGTTGTGTTTCTTTGATGGAGTGACCGTGAATCTCCTACATCTTGCATTTTTCTGATATGTACATGATATATTTGTGATGGTTGAATCTGCAAACCCACCATAGAATTTCTTTACATGGCTTAATAAGCTCCATCCTGCACTCAAACGTACCATTGAATTGGAGGAATCAGACAAGCTCCCTTTCCTTAATTTGTTGACAAATTTGCTGTGTATTCTTGATCACTACCAGCTGCAAGCCTACGTTCACTGGTCAATCTATATGTTTGGATTACTACAGTTCCTTGTGCTACAAGATCAGTCTCATTGACAACCTTGTGAATAGAGCTCAAGCCAACTGCTCACCCTTCAAGCTTGATGCTATGATTGGTTTATCAGTACTAGCCTACATGATCACTTGTTGTAGAGACAAGCTTGTGAAAGTGTCTACGTCTGACCACAAAACTGCCCATTGGAAAGGGAAGTTGTCCCAAAACATTGAGCAACATGTGAAACAGCTGTCTCAAGGTACTGCTTTGCATAAGTGCAGTAAATGCATAAGTGCTTTTATTTTACCACTAACAAGACGTTGCTGTTAAGTGGTGTGGTCTATATGTTTCAGTGCCAGTGTGATGCCAGACATATAAGCTATACATCTCGCTGATTAGTGGACTGTTCCTAACAACACATCTGTTTGACTGTTGGCAGTGTGCTCACAGTCTCTTGTAAAGACCATATCATTTTATTTATCTCTATTTTGGTTTTTGGAACAAATAGGGAAAGGATTGTTTTAAAACAAGGACTGTGGAAGGAGTGGCTGCCCTTCTTAAAAACAAATTACCGGAACTCATTGTGAGTTGTGTTTACACTGTTGCTTTGTTCAAGCAGTGAGGAAAGATCTCAGATATGCTACTGCACCGTGTGTGTATTTTCAGAGTGAGATTCCTGCAGGGACTGATTAGTTTGTACTGTCTGGATCCATTGTGGAGGTCAGAAGTCATCAACATGACAACAACTCCCTGGTTGTTTCCTTGGCAAGTCATCAGCTTCTGCGTGGACATTGTAGAGGAAGAAGCGGCAAGGCTACAAAAAGACAAGATCTCTCTCCTCCCTGCAGTGAAGTCACTAAAACTTAGATACAGCTAATTGTTCTCAGCCACCAGTAGCTGTAAGCTGTTGCATCTAAGGAGTGGCTGAAAGACTGTAGACTGTATAATTTGTGGTCAACTGCCCTGTGTCTTCAGCAAAGAACTGAAAGGATATGGAAAAACGAGACTGGCTATAAAGGGCTCAGAAAAAGCTCAAGGGACATCTCATTGAACCCTATGGACTGGTGCTTTTGAACAATGTTTCCCTGGCATTTTTACTTTCATACATAACATCCATGTTTGCTTGCTTGTTTGTCGGCATGTGTGTGTAGGGGCTTAGAAAGGGGTCAGAGTTAACATGTTGATAATTTCTAATTTTATTTCTCTGCGGTTAGAATTGATTTATTTGTAATAAATAATACAGGTTAATTATACATACATGGTCAGCATTTTCTGTCAGGTGGGTAAATTGGTGATTTGATTAAACCTTTATCTTCTCTGTGAGCCTGGGAGTAGTGAGGGTCAGTTTCATAATTGGGTCGTGACATTGCTTGCAAAACACTGACCACAGTGTCAAGAACTAGATGTGACTCTATCATTAAACAACATTTTTACTAAATCATCCAGAACTGGATTAGACTGAAAGCCAATTTAAGATTATCAATTAGGCTCACAGTCTACTTCAATTTTGTGTCCTAGAAGTTACATATATTCTCATAGGACCATGTTCTGTGCAGACAAAGGAGTCTGTTCATGCACTGCACCTTCTTAATTGAGGAAAAGTTATGGATACATTCATTCTCTGTTGCATTTACCATGGCAACAACCTGACCAACCAACACTGCTGACTCACAGTACTATGGCTGTCTCTACTCCCTAAATACAGTAGCAGTTCAAGAAGATAGATCACCACCACTTTCTCAAGGGCATTTAGGGATGGGCAATAACTACTGGCCCA